CCCACTTGGGAATCCTTGGGCAATCAACTTCTTAGACCAGAAAAGAGAAGCAAGAGGATATAGAGGGAGGGGTAAATGGCACTGGCTTGGAATATAGGCTCAAGGCAAAATCCAGGCTGAAGTTCCCTGCCTTCTTTGTTCCTGGGTGAGCCCCATAACTTCACTTTTGCCTTTACAAGGTGAGGAGTCACCATTTGCATTACATGTGTACTTGTCATAGAGGGCTGCAGACAATCTTCCCACTGTCTTAAGGAGTCTTAGGGCTTAAATTACATTGTTGTTGTGATTAAGTACCATCAAGTTGGGTTCTGACTCATAGACACCCAGTATAGGTTTTCTGAAGAGCAGCTGGTGAATTTGAGCCACCAAACTTGAGGTGAAGTGCTTATCCTACGGCACCCACCAGGTCTTTTTAAATTACATACTGATTGTCTAATAATAATCATTCAACTTCTCTGTAAAGATTTATTTTGAAATGTTTTAGTCCAGATCCCCTGAATTAAGCCTTTCCAGTTGAAGAGCCATGTTATTTATCTTCCTCCTACTCTCCATCAGATGCTGGCTCAAACATACTGTGCACTTGAACCCTTACTCACTTGCTTCTCCTTCCCCCTTCTTTTCTCCTCATGCCTCTCCTTCTATTCCTGTACCCTCCTTCCCTCTCCTGTTCACTGAGGAACCAAAGGTCCTTCTATTTTGTTCTTCAGAACATTTGATTGATCTTTAGATTCAAACCGAACTGTGCTTCAAGTCCCTCTTAAAATGAAGGGGCACCTCCCTGCTTGCCCAGCTCCTAGATGTCCTCACTATTGCCTTGTAGAATTATTCATGGACCCATTTGCAATCCACTTCTATTTCTCAATGTTTTCCCCCACTGTTTATTTGTTATCATTACTTTCTTCCTCTCCCCCACCCGCTCCTGGCACTAATGTATCTTTCATTACTAACTTCCTGTATTGCAATATTAACTTAGGAGTTCTGGTGTGGCATTATAGTATAAACACTGAAGAGATAACCATAATATTGGCAGTTCAGACTCACTCATCATTCCTTAGAAATCCTGTACAGGATTGTTAAGACTTGGAACCAACTTAATGGAACTGAACAACAACAGTAATGGTAAATTAGCTATTAAAATGGAACATTTATAAAATGTTTGATCCACCAAGAGACCCCAAAGGTATCCTCCCAAATGTAGTAGAAGTGAAGACCTCAGATAGTGAGTGATGATCCCTTACTAGAGCCCCCAAAAGTCGTGTTTATCTGCCCTTTTTGCATATGTCGGAGAAGGAAACTAAGGCATAGAAAATTGTAGGTCACCACACATAGCTGTATAGGTTGTGTACTATGAAAGAGCAGCTGAGGAAGAAAGTGGGAAGTGAAATTCTGCTTGTGTTTCACTTAATTCATGCACCTGGTGTGGGGAAGTTTTTGCCCAGAGTGGGTGCCTTTTTTAAAATTTCCACATATGACCTGCTAGTGTTCCTGAGTGTCCAAAAGGCTGGGGTTTCCATGTTGTAGTTTAAAGGTTCCTGCACTTGAAGGGACAGATCAGCATCCCAAGCACATTAACTTATGGCTGGTCATGGACTAGAGAAACATGGCTCTGTGCATGAATGGAAGCACCCATAGACCAAAGCCCTAGACTATTAAATCTGAGAGGTATTGAGAAGAGTACCAAGGACTGGATGAAACAGGCACAACCTGAATGGATGTAACAGGGGTAAGGAACCAGAAGGTATTTACCTTATCAGAGTTCTGTACTATGGAATAAATCGTGTTCACTTGCTCTTTTTTGGAGGACAGCACCTGTAAAACATCCATTTTCCCTTAAGTGAGTGTTCCTAGGTTAAATGAGCTCTACTTCCTAGTCTACCATCACCTTTCTTTGGCTCCACTTTTACTAGGCATCCTCCTTTCCTGGTTTAAGCTCTGGTCTGTTGGAGAAGATCAAGATCAAATGAGGGAAGAGTGCACAGCAGCTGGGCAAAATCTTCAGGCAAAAACACCAGATGGAGGGCTTTACATGGTTCATTCTGAGTTTTTCTCAGTCAAGGTCTTAGCTTTCCAATGGATTCTGTGGACTCAGGTGCTCTAATAGTCAAAGTACAATGCTAGATTGACCAGGCAATCCTCACTTTTCTCATTCATTCTTTGGAAGCACAGAGGGAGGACACATTGTAAAAACCTGATTCATTAGGGGCAGGTAGATGAAAGGCAGGTGGGAGGAGGAAGTGAAGGACAGAGTGACTTGGAATCTGAGGAAGCAAACTACTGCTGTTGCCAGGTGAGTAATTCATATTCATGAGGGCCGGTGTCAGTTCTGTGCCCCCTGAGAGCCCTTAGCAACCTGCTCATCATAACAATGGCCATATAACCATCAGTAGCCCTCACCTCACTTCAGGGCTCCCTTCTTGCTTGGCCCCAATAGGAGCCACTCCAATTCTGGTCATGACTTTTACCCAATACTGGGGCCAGGTCCCTGGAGGGACTATCAGAGCCTTGAGGATGCCATGGGTTGATAATGGACTTGGCTTTTGTTCTTGTAAAGAGTCTTGGGGCATCATTTCTCTGACAGTGGTATTTCTTGGTTGGATCCTCCACATTCCCAGTTATGGGTGCTATCAAAGCCACAGGAAGTAATGGTTACCCTTGACTTTCTATCCTGAGATACAGGGGCAGCGGTCCATGAGTAACAAAAACTCACCTTGGACTGGGAAATTTCATCATAGATTCTGTTCTCTGCTGGCTGGTTGTTTCTTGGAACGACAATGTGTTCATACACTATTTTCTTTGAAGCAGCATCTGTGTCACACAAAAAGCACACAACCACAGTATATGAAAAGTAGATGAATTTTTAGAGAATATCTATGTCAGTGCTTCCTTTTCTTTGAAAAAAAAAATTTTTTTATTGTGACTTAAATGAAGGTTTACAGACAAGATCCATCAGTTTAGCATTCAACCAATCATACACTTTGTTTCATTTCACTGATTTCAACCCCCTCCATGGAACAAGTTATCCTGCTTCCTCCCCGTGGCTCCCATATCCATTCCACCGATTTTACCATCCCTTTTCACCTTTGTGCTTAGGTACATGCTGCCTTTTTGATTTTGAATGATTGACTGTTTGGTCATTTCTAGTGAATATACCTTATTAATGTTGTTCCCCCTATATACCTATCTACTACTTGGCTGAAAGTTGGGCCACGAAGGTGAGTACCTTTCCAAACCTGAAGGGTGGTTGAGGGCCATAGTCTCAGGTTCCTCCAGTCTCTTAAGGCCAGTTTTGTTGTTTTTTTTTAAAAATAAATTTTAGATTTGTTTCACATATTCTGCTGCTCTACTCGGGTCCTTCTAATGTGATCCCTTTCAGAGTAGTTGTTAGTGGTAACTGGACACCACCTAGTTCTGGTCTCAGAATCATGGAGACTGATGTTTACATGTTCCAGTAGTCTGTTGGACTAATTGATTCCAAGTATCTTCAATTCTCATCACTCCTTTTTCCTCTGTACATGGAGAGACAAATAGTTGTACCTTATATGGCCACACATGAGCTTTTCACATCCCAGATGCTACTCACCAAAGTAGGATGTAGAACATTGTCTTTGTGCCAATTGACAATGGTGTCTCCTGAAACTATGGTCCTGAGTCTCTAGGCTCATCTACTCATTGCCTTAAGATTATTGATAATATCTAAGAAGTTTTCATAATTTTGCTTGCTGTAATGATGCTCCACCACATTCACAGCTGTGTTTGCAGGAAAGATAAATATTCATGTACCAATATCCTATTTCAAAGTCTTGTATATCTGTGGGATAGATACATACCTACTCAGTATGTATCTCATGTATCTCTGTCCATATATCCATGTATCTAACTGTAGAACATTGTTGTTCCAATGTTGTCTGTATATCACTATTTACATATGTTCCCTCTTATATACCTCCTTGTGTCTTCATCTGTCTTCATCATTCTTCTGCCAACCTTCCTCTTCTTGTATATTGCCCTTCAACTTCTTGTATATTGCTTTCCCTGCCACCTGAGTTAACATGTGTCTACCCTCTAGTCAGTGAACTACTCTCCCTTCCTTCCCACTCCTGCAACCATCAAGGAATGTTTCTTTTTTTATTTCAAATTTTATATATTTGTGGGATCTACAAATATATATATATATATATATATATATATATATATATACCACTCTTCCTCCTTTAGCCATTCAGCCTATATCTCAATCCGTGTATCTACTCACAGAACACTATTGTTCCAAGCTTGTGAGTGTAGCACTGTTTACATCTATCTCCTTTAGCCCATTCATATCTCCCTCTGTCCTCACCTGTCTTCATTATTCTTCTGTGACCCTTCCTCTTCTTGTATACTGCCCTCCCCTTTCTTGTATATTGGCCTTCCCATCACACTTGTCTACTCTTTAACCAGTGAATTACTCTCCTCCCTTATTCCCCTGGTTATCATCAAAGGATGTTTCTTTTAGTCTGGAAAACTTTTCTTAAAATTTTACAATAATGGTCTCATACAATCTTTGTCCTTTTGTGATAGACTAATTTCACTCAGTGTAATATCCTTCAGGTTCTTCAATGTTATGTGGTGTTTTACAGATTGATCATTATTCTTCAGTGTTGCATTGTATTCCATTGTGTATGTATACCAGAGTGTGTTTATCCATTCTTCCATTGATGGACATTTAGTCTGTCTCCATCTTTTTACTATTGTGGATAGTGCTGCAGTGAACATCGGTGTGCATAGATCAGCTGGTATCATGGCTCTTGTTTCTTGGGGATATATATAAAGTAGAGGGATTTGGTTTTTGAGGAAGTGCCATACGATTTTCCACAATGGTTGCACAATTTTGCAGTACCATCAGCAAGGTACTAGTACCATCCAATGTACAAGGAGCCTATTCTCTCCGCTCCCTTCCCAGCATTTGTTATTGCCTATGTTTTGAACATCTCTGTTAATGTTGCTGCTATCTCGTTGCTTTGGTTTGCATCTCTCTAATGGGAATCCTGGTGTGGCACTGTGGGTTAATGCACTAGACTGGACTGAAAAGTTGGTTTGAACTGTAAGGTTGGCAGTTCAAGTTCATCTGCTACTCCTCAGAAACTCTATACAGGGTCTCTATGGGTCAGAAATGACTCAATGGCACTCCACAACAACAACAAATGGCTAACGATAGTGAACATTTCATATATTTGTTGGCTTCCTGGATGTCTTCCTTGGTGAAATGTCTGTTTATGTCCTGTTGCCATTTTTTAATCGGCTTGTCTGTCTTTTTCTTGTAGAGGTGCTGTTTGTTGTTGTTGTTAGGTGCCATCGAGTCGATGCCAACTCATAGTGACCACAGCAGAACAAAACAATGCCCGATCCTGGCCCCATCTTACTATTGTTGTCATGCTTGAGTCCATTGATGCTGTCACTTGACCAATCCATCTCCCTGGGGGTCTTCCTCTTTTTCTCTGACCCTACATCTTACTAAACATGATATCCTTCTCCAGCGACGGTCCCTCCTGACAATATGTCCGAAGTATGAGAGATGAAATTTGGCCATCTTGGCTTCCAAGGAGCACTCTGGTTGCACTTCTTCCAAAATGGATCTGTTGGTTCTTTTGGCAGCCCATGACAATTTCAATATTCTCCTCTAACACCATAACTCAAAAAGCATCAATTCTTCTATGGTCTTCCTTATTTACTGTCCAATTTTAACATGCATATGAGGTGTTGTAGTTTTCTATAAATTTTAGATATTACTCCCTTGCCTTATATGTTGTTGAAAAAAGATGTTTTCCTAGTCTGTGGGCTCCCTTTTTACTCTTTTGGTGAAAACTTTTGATGCACATAAGTTTGTAATTTTTAGGAGGTCACAGTCATCTTTTTTGTTTTCTACTGCTTGTGCATTTTTTGGTAATGTTTGATGGTGTATGTATGCCCTGTACTAGAGCCCCTAAGTTTGCCCTTAAGTTTTCATTGATGATCTTTATAGTTCTATGTTTCACTTTTAGGTCTTTAATTCACGTTGAACTTGGTTTTGTATATGGTATGAGGCATGGGTCTTATTTCATTCTTCTACAAATCGATTTCCAGTTTTGTGAGCAACATTTGTTGAAGAAACAATCTCTTCCCCATTTAATATGTCTTGTCCCTTTGTCAAAGATCAGTTGACTTTATGTGGATGGAATTACTTCAGGATTCTTAATTCTGTTTCATTGATCTATGTATCTTTCATTGTACCAATTCCAAGCTGTTTTGAGCACTCTGGCTGTGTAGTAAATTTTGAGATCAGGGAGTGAGAGGCTTCCAACTTTGTTCTTTTTCTTAAGCAGTGCTTTGCTTATCTGAGATCTCTTTCCTTTCCATATAAAGTTTGTGATCATTGTTTCCATCTCTTTAAAGCATATGTTCGATCTGGATTGGGATTGTGTTATATCTATAGATTGCTTTGGGTAGTTGTGACATTTGCATAATGTTAAGTCTTTCTAACCATGAGCATGGTATGTTCTCCCATTTTTATAAATCTTGTAGTAGTGTTTTGTAGTTTCTTTGTATAGGTCTTAAGATAAACAAATACAGGAGTTAAGCAGTCAGTGACTTCTAAGATTTCTTGACTCTGGATCCAGAACTCTTTCCAATATGTCTTGCTCTAGTGATCTGTACTTTGCCTCCTTCTATGTTCTCATCCAAGGTACACTGGCTCTGACTTCATTTAGATCCAGGCTTGGAGTTGCTCCCATTCTGCCTGATGCCCCTATTCAGTAGCCTCATCCTTCTTGAGGATGGACACATGGGTATTCAAGCTGTCTTTCCCTTGTCTCAGGATTGTATGTGATCGAGGAGGCATCCAGGTCAAGCATTGTCTAGGGCTCAGTGATAATTCTCTGATCAGCTCTCCCATCCAGGTTGGGATCTCACTACACTTAGCAACACTAGCATTAGCGTTGACTACCTTAAATTGTTAGTTGACTTTTCATGTAAGTACTTTAGTTTCTCTACTAAAGTTGTCACTCATTATATACTGTGTTCGAGTCTTCTGGTGCACACCTTACCATTTCTAAATCTGTGTTGAATTCATAATGGAGGCCCCACAGACATTTACTGCTTGCATGCTTGATTAAAGTATTAAATAAAGCTTGATTAAAGTCAATAAATATTTCTTAAGTGCTTTCTGTGCATCAAGCTCTGTGTGAGGTCCCAGAGACCCAAATAGGAGATATAAATCCCTATTTCTAAAAATTGATTAACTGGTAGAGGCATTTTATCATCTGGGATCTTTTTCTTTGGCACTGATATAAAATTTAGGGCCTAGGTGAGATGAGATAGCTAGAACTTTAGGCCTTTATATTCCAGGATATCTTAGCATATCCATAAATAACCCACCTAGTGAGCTTAGTAATGTCACAGGACTCAAATGTTCAACATCTAGTCCTAGCCATTCCCCTGTTCCAGATTTGGATAGCCAATTTTTCTTCTCAAGATGTTGTCAGGGGTGTAGGACAGATTGCTTTATGAGGGACTCGCCAGATCATCCACAGCCTGAACATGCCGTACGATTCTCCCCATCATGAGATCATTTGAATTACATCACACACACTCTAACCCTGGAAGATCATCCTCTGTGGCATGCCCAGACCCTTCAATTATATAGTTGCTGTTGTTGTTATGTGCTGTGGAGTCAGTTCCGACTCATAGCGACCTTGTACAGGGTTTCTGAGGCTGTAAATCTTTACGGGAGCAGAAAGCCTCATCTTTCTCTCATGGAATAGCTGGCAGTTTTGAACTCCTGACCTTGAGGTTCGCAGCCCGATTCGTAACCACTATGCTACCAGAGCAATTATATAGTAGCTAACATTTATTGCGTATTTAGTATGTTCCAGGCACCAGATAAATTATTTTGTGTTTGTAATTCCATTGAACCCACTGAGTAATATGCAGCTATCCTTATTATTGTGCTTCTTTTACAAGTGAGAAGACTGAGACTTACAGTGATAAAACAACTGACCTAAGAGCCCATGGAATCTTAGTATGGCATTGTAGGATAAGCTCTGGACTACTAATCACAAGGTTGGTGGTTCAAACCCACCAGCCGCTTCTTAGAAACCCCATACAGGGTTGTTATGAGTCAGAATGGACTCAATGGCACTTAACAACAGCAACAAAAGCCCTTAAGTTTATTCCAGACTGACTTCAAAACACATTTTTTTACTCTTAAGCACAATACTCTGAACTTCAATCCTTCCCAATTGTTATCTAAGTAACTTTGTGGCTGAGAACTTACAAGAGCTCTTATTGAAGGTTTTCAAGTAGGAACCTGAGGAATCAGACTCAAAAGAAAGTCAAGAAAATGGAAGCAGAGATAGAGCTTCTCTACATCCTTGCTTATTAATGTGGTTGGTTGAAAAGAAAGAGAGCTTGGGTGGACATGGGAGTAGGAGGAATAGGAGGGTATAATAATTCTCCCAAGGGTCCAGTATAAGGTATTCTGAATTGAGAATGGAATGGTTGCAGAAGATTCCAGAGGGGTTCAGAGGATCTGATGACAGCCATAGAATGAAAATGCAAAACTAATACACGTCCCTTAGTAACTCTCCAAGATTCATACTGAAAAAAAAACAGAGTTGAAAGTGATTCTGGAGACACTCTAGTCCAAACATCAATTCACATGTGAGGGCACTGTGCCACAGAAGTGAAGACACCTGTCCAGTGAGGCACAGTTTACTAACGACAGGATTACTAACACAGTTTACTAACGACAGAACTCATGTTCTGAGCCCACCATATTGGTAATCTGGGGAACAGATTCTGGAGATCATGCAGGGTAGTGTTCTGCAGTGGTCTGGGCCATTCTTTTGAGAAGCAGTGAGGTGGTGGGGTGGGGGTTGCAGAAGAAACACAGGACTTCTGTGTATCACTTTAGATACATGATTTCAATTCCAAGAAGAAGGAATAGTATTTATACATTTTACCTTCTGGCAAAATCTTACCTTGTCTTTTCTTGTACAAACGGAACAAAAGCACTGGAGACAGAATGAGAACAAGCAAAAAGAGCACAGCCAGTACACTCAGCAACCCAGTGTGGTGAGAACGAAGGCCCATAATGATGTCTGCAAATAGAAGATGCAACAAGTCTTGATTTCCCAGGAAATAGACCCAAAAGGCTGGGCAGGCTTGGCAGCACTCGGGGCACTATCACAACTGGGTTCCTCCCTGTGGAGTATCAAAGCCCCTTGGAAAACTGAACTTTCTGATATTAAAAGTCAGATGGTCACATAGGGGCTGCTTCAGAACATCTTGAAATGCATGGCATCTCTCAGAAGGTTTTGGGATCTTTCCCATTGGGCTTCCTGGGAGGAGATGCCTTTTGAGACCAGTCCTCCAGAACAAGAAGCCTAATTTCAGGCCTTGCAAGTCTTCAAGGTGATTTTTTGAGGCTCTAGGAAAGTTGGACAGAGCAGGTTACCTGCACATAGGTTCCGGGAAGAGATGGAGTTAGAACTGTTGCTGACAGGGTTCCAGGCTGTACAAGTGTAAGTCGACTCTTGATCCTCAGGGCTCTGAATGATTCTAAGGATATTGCCCTCTTCTTCCAAGGAACTCCATCTATATGATACATCCTTTTCTTCCTTCTGAACAGAGCATGTCAGTGTGACATTACAGGAGCTATTCGTAGATGTTATTGAATTCTGGGTAATTTTTGGCTTCCCAAGTCGACCTATGAAGGAAAACACACAAGCAAGTAGTGTCATGGATTGAATTGTGTTCCCCAAAATATGGGTCAATTTGGCTGGGCCATGACTCCCAATACTGGGTGGTTGTGTTTCATTTTTTGGGTCTGATATAATTATCTTCTATTTTGTGATATGCTATAAATCCTAACCTCAATGTGTTAATGAGACAGGGTTAGGTTGTATTATTGAAGATTGGGTTGTTTGTATGTTAATGAGAAGGATTAGTGTAGGATACAATGTTCTTACTCAGGTCAAACCCTGGGGTGGGGGTGGCCTTTATGACCTTTTATTTTATATGAGATAAAAGGAGAGAGAAGAGAGCAGAGGAAGAAGAGCCAGGAACAGACTGCATCCTTGGGACCTAGGGTCCCTGCACTGAGACCCTCCTAGATCCAGGAAAAGAGTGATGTCAGTACAAATAGAAATCTGCATGGAATGCCAGACCCATAGATGTTGAAAAGACACAAGATTGTCCCCTGAAGCTTACAGAGAGATAAATCCTGGCCTTAGAGCTGGCACCTTGAATTAGGACTTCTAGCCTCCTAGACTGTGAGAGAATAAATTAGGTTTGCTAAAGCCATCCACTTAGATTTCTGTTATAGCAACACCAGATAACTGAAACAAAATGGTGAGCTGAAGCCAACTTATACCAGTTTGCAAGAGCCAACTGCAAAATTTTCAGGAATTTTGCAGGATGGTTGTTAAACATAAATATCATTAAATATTAAAAACTCATAATCAAACAAATTATATTAAAAACAAAGGTAATAAATATGTAAACCTCATCATTTTCTAGGTGTTTTTTCTTTTTACATTTTTCTATTATCTATGCTCTTTGTAATGGTTACGAATTGGACTGTGAACCGCAAGGTCACCAGTTTGAAACTACCAGCTGTTCTGTGGGAGAAAGATGAGGCTTTCTGCTCCCGTAAAGATTTACAGCCTTGGAAACCTTGTACAGGGTCGCTATGAGTCGGAACCGACTCCACGGCACATAACAACAACAACAACAACAACATGCTCTTAATATTATTTATATCTGTTGTATCTGACCTTTGTAATGGTGTATTTCTGAGCATGTTTTCTCAACTCTGCATGACTTGAAAGCAGCTATAGAAATTGGTAAATGCTACAAACTTGGGCTTAATATATTTTTTATTGATTGTCACTGTAGATTTAAGAAATATTACTAATGCAGATAAAATTTTAAAAGTCATGCCTATAAGCATAACATACACACATGCACATTCACTATTCAAAAACCATTCTGTAACTCAGCAAAGATGCTGCTCATACCATTGATGAACAAACAAAATTCCAGTATATATAGACATGTTTTTAGAGTCCTGGTGTGGTGCTTTGGGTTAATGTGCTGGGCTGCAAAGTTGGTTTGAACCACAAGGTCAGCAGTTCAAATTCACCAGCTGTTCCTCAGAAACCCTATACAGGTTGCTACAGGTCAGAACTGATCGATGGCACATAACAAAGACAATAACACATGTCTTTCTCAAATCACTTTTTCTCATTAGTTAGCTTTAAGCATATTACTGTAAAAAATGATATGGCAGAGGAATCTGACTCCTTTAACTCCAGAAGGGAAAAGGAGAATCAAGATTAGTAACCCAAGACTGATTCATATGAGGCAGAATTCTGACACCAACTGTCCCTACTATGGTACTGTTTACTTCTTTGCTGGGTTTGAGAATTCATTGCGGTGACCACACAGACTTAGACAGCACTTATGATTATGGGGTTTATAAGGGAAATAACAAATTACAATTTAGAATCTGGAATCAATCAGGACAGTCTCTTTTGAGCTGTGCTGCAGACAGGCCTATCTGGCCTTTCAGCCCCTTTGCCCTTCAACTCAGCCTCTGTCCTGCTCAGGCAACTGTTACAAAGGTCTTTAGGCTCTTTCAATAAGTACCCAGAGGCACCCTACTCTACTAGTAAGCCTTGGCTTGAAGGCGTTCAACTCTTTCACTCTGCAAGTCGGCAATCTTACCTCTACCAACAAGTCTCTAGAGACACACCACTCTGCCAGTAAACCTCCTGCCTGAAGGTTCTCACCTCTCTCTCACTTTGTGGATCAGTAAGCTGGGCTGCATCAAGTCGCTGGATGTGCTCTACTTCACCAGCAAGGCTCCTGCCAGAAGGCACTCAGCTTTCTTTCTCCACGAGCAAGGGAAGTCCATTGTGACTTCTCCTGGTTTCTACTGCCTCTGCTGTCACTATTTCTCTGCCACTACTTAACATTTCTTGCCATCGCTGATATTTCAGTTTTCTCTGAGTCTCCTAAGTCTAGGAGGTTCCCAGGACCAAAAGACACACTCGTCAGCCAGTTCTTCTTTCTTGGTGGCAGTCAACACCCTTATTTCTGCTTGCTTCTCTCTCCTTTAATCTCTTGTAAGAGAAAAGGTGTAACTCAAGCAAGAGTGATGACTTGAGTGAATCACACCTTGATCCTGCCTCACTAAAATAATAAATATAACTGAATCCTCATTGACATAACTTAAAAACAGAACACCTCTAATTTCATAATACAGAATGAGAATCAAGATCAGTAGCCCAAGGCAGAAGGCAGACATGCCTCTTCTCTCCAAACCTTTTACTAATTCTGACACTAGTTGTTCCTCCCATAAAACTCTCTACCCCTCCATTGATTTCAATTGCTGTTGTTAGGTGCCACTGAGTCAGTACAAACTCATAATGACCCTATGCACAACAAAGTGAAACACAGCCCAGTACTGAGCCAACCTCACAATTGTTGCCACACTTGATCCCATTGATGCTGCCATTTTGCCAATCCATCTCACTGGGGATTGTTCTCTTTTTATCTGCCCCTCCACCTTACCAAACAAGATATACTTCTCCAGCAACTGGTCCCTCCTGAAAATATGTTTGAAATATGAGAGATGAAGTTTGGCCACTGGCCAAGTGGCAGCATCGATGGACTCAAGCATGGCAACAGTAGTGAAGTTGGCTCAGGATCAGACAGTGTTTTATTCTGCTGTGCATAAGGTTGCTATGAGTCGGTACTGACTCAATGGCACCTAACAACAACAACAGCAACAAACATCTTTATTGTATTCTGGGCTTTCAGCCAAGATCTATCAGACATCCACTTCTGAATCCGGCATGAACCTCTGGAGGTTCTCTGTCAATGTATGCTTGGAGCCATTTCTGTATTACCTTTAGTAAAACTTTACTCACATGGGATAACAAAGAGATTGTCTGATGATTTCCGCATTCCATTGGATCACTTGTCTTTGGAATGGGCACATATACAGATCTCTTCCAGTCAGTTGGCTAGATAGTTGTCTTCAAAATTTCTTGGCATAGATGAATGAGTGCCTCCAGTGCCACCTCACTTTCTTGAAAGATTTCAATTTTTATTCCATCAATTCCTGCTGCTTTGTTCTTTGCCAATTCTTTCAATGCAACTTGGATGTCTTCCTTCAGTATCATTGGCTCTTGATCATATACTACCTCTTGAAACAGTTGAACATCAACCATTTCCTTTTGGTACAGTGACTCTGTGTATTCCTTCCTGGTTTTTTTTTTGTTTTTTTTTTTAATAGCAATTGTTATTATTTATTGAACATCTAGAATTTGTCAGGAACCATACTGGATGCTTTACAATCATGATCTCCAATTTTAGAAACCATAGGTAGAAGGTTAAAGCTGTTTTTTCCAGCAAAGCTCAGAAAAGCTGAATCACTCATCTAAGGCTGTATATGGTTGGTAAATGGTAGAACTGGGGGTTGACTTTAAATGCTCTCCCACACCACATAGCTTCTACCATGTAGATAAACAAAACAGCTCTATTATTTTAGTTAGATCTCATTTATAAAATTCCAAACACGGCTTATAGGTCTGACATGACAATACCATTCACAATATTATTAAATAAGAAATTCATCAGATTTTTGTCACATATCTAGAAAGTAGTGTTAGCATAGATAATAGTAACAAGCTATTCTTCTCTTAAGTTCCAAAGAATAACAAGAACTCTCTGATTCAAAAAAATCAAAACAAACAAAAAACCCCAACACATATTCCCTGTAGTCACAAACACAAAGATCTAAAACCCCATTTTAAAGCCATTTCTCTATAGCAAGAATCCAACCTGCATTTGCAATAGAAAGAATATTAAACCAAGAAGTCACTGAAAAGTCACACTGTTGGCAAAACACAACATGATGGTGACACCAACCTAGACACAGGACACAAACCAAGGCCCTTCCACACAGTCACAATTCCGTCAATGTCTCCACGCCACACATATTCCTCAATGTCTGCTTGACCAAACACCACAGTGGCCATGGGGTCTACTTTCCTGCAGTCTTGTGTAGACTTTGCTGCCACCCTAAACCCAAAGGGATTTTGGCCATGGAGTACACCACCACTCCCTGGTACTGACAGGTATTTTCAGTAATTCAACCAACCCAGATTTCAACACATGGTTCCCATATAGGAAGGACTACTCTGCCCCAGGTTTTATCCACACTTTATACTTGGCATAGGGCGCCAGGTAATCTAGAGCTGTGACAAGCAACCGGAACTTGTGGGTTTTTGTGAATTTCCCGACACAGGTCCCCAGGGACACCAGCTTGTCCCAGGATCTTCTCACTCACGTAGCACACCCGGTCGCTGTGCAGACTGTAGCAGTAGGTGCCACAGACTGGTCTGTCAGTGAGCAGCTGAAGATTCTCCCCGATTTATTTCCTGAGCTTCTCGAACATTACACGAATGTCCACTTCAGTCAAAGGCCGTCTTTTCCAGCTAGGCCAAAACGCTGACTCCTCCTGCCTCAGTTGCGGGAAACAGAAGCCCCTTCCATCTTCTTGTGATGCTTTCTGCATCATTCAATAATTTCTCCAAAGAATCCTTAAATAA